ACTTCTATTGCAGCCGTGGAGCCTAATCATAATATTAGGTCCTTGCATTGCTACTGCATCCGCGGAGCCTAATCACAACATGAGGTCCTTGCACTGTTATCGCAGCCGCAGAGCCTAAACATAATATGAGGTTCTTGCAGCTGTAGAGCTTGATCATTACATGAGATCCTTGCACTACCACTGTAGCCGTGGTGCCTAAACACAATATGAGATTCTTGCGCTGCTATCGGAGCCGCGGAGCCTAATCACAACATGAGGCTCTTGCACTGCTATCGCAGTCGCGGAGACTAAACATAATATGAGGTCCTTGCACTGCTATTGCAGTCGCGGAGCTGAATCAATAAATATGAGGCCTTTGCACTATAATTATAGCCATTGAGAATAATCACAATATGAGGTCACTGCACTGCTATCGGAGCTGCGGATCCTACAAGGTTCTTGCACTGCTTTTGCAGTCGCTGAGCTTAATCATCAAATATGGGCCCTTGCACTACTACTGTTGCCGAGGAACCTAATTACAACAAGAGGTTCTTGCACCGATATCACAGCCGCAGAGCCTAATCACGAGGCCCTTGCACTGCTCTTGCAGTCATGGAATCTAATCAATATGAGACTTTTGCGCTACTGTTGCAGCTACGAAGCTTAATCTCAACATGATATCCTTGCATTGATATTGCAGTCAAGGAAACTAATTATCAAATATGAGGTTATTGAGCTACTGCTGTAGCCTCTGTGCTTAATCATATGGTATTTGCACTGCTAACGCAGCAATAAAATCTAATCACACACGCATGAGCTTCTAGTACTGTTACTGTAGCCACAGAGCTTAATCAACATTATAAGGTTCTTGCCTAATAACCAAAATGTGAAATTTTTGCTATGTATCGCGGTCATGGAGCCTAATTACAACGTAAAATACTTGCACCGCTATCACGGCCGCAGAGTCAATTATCAACATAAGATTATCAAATAAAAGGTCAATGCACTACTACTGTAGGCATGGTGACTAATCACAACATGGGGTCCTAGTAATGCTATCGCAGCTATAGCGCCTAATCACTATACAAGAGGTCCTCGCACTGCTTTAGAGCTTAATCAACATTATTTAATGACCAAACATGAGGTCTTTGCACTGCTATCGCAGTCGCAGAGCCTAATCATCGAACACGAGGCTTGCAATATTATTGAAGCATTGAGTCTAACCCCAAAGATCCTTGCACTGCTATCATAGCGGCAAGTTCTAATTATCTAGCATGAGGTTCTTGCATTGCAATCGCAGCTGCAGAACCCAATCGTCAGACATGAGCCTTGCACAACTATTGCAGCCGCGAAGCCGAATCTCCAGTATGAAATCCTTGCACTGCTATTGCGGCTGTAGAAATTAAATCATCAAATATTGGCTCTTGCATTGCTATCACAGCAGTCAAGTATTAACATGAGATCCTTCAATGTTATTGCAACTACGAAACTAATTACCAAAAACGAGATTTTGCACTGCTATCGCAGCTGCAATGCCCAATTACCAACATGAGGTTCTTACACTACTAATGCAGCCATGAAGTTTAATTGCCAACATTTGGTCCTCTGTATTCACAGAACCCAATCACAAACATAAGAATCTTGCATTGCTATTAGAGCCGTAATGCCTAATCACCAAACTTAAGGCTCTTGTCAGTGTTCTTAGTCAATGAGTCACCGAGAGAAGGCGGGACGATAGAGCCAGCCTTAACTACAAGGTGAGCAATAACGAAAAGAAAGATAACAATCTCTACTAACCGAAGGCTCTTAAATATTCCTGGAAAACAATCTTGCCTATCAGAGTAACTCATATCTTCCACAATCATATGCAATCAAAATATTGATTAGGAAAAAATACCTGCATCTAACAAGATACAATAAGGACTATACACAAAACCCCATAAAGGTAAAACGACAAATTGAACATGTGATTCAATAGAGTCATTTGCTTTCGCAATAATGATTGTCACTTCGTTGACAGGCTTTTCAAATCGTAATAATAAAATAAGAAAGTGCGTTAATAAATCATTCCTAACGTTATAATCGCTTCTATTAAAGATGATTGTTCATGTAATCGATTTAACGCCGATTTCAAGTTCAAAACTTATAAAATAATAAAGGCAGATTTTGATCCTTTATTTTCAACACAAGCGTTAATTATCACCACGTTTATGAAGTTTACTAATAACTATTCAAAGAGATGGTTCCGTTGCTCTAGTCATGAAATCTTATGGAATCGATGAACAAAACCTGGTTATAAAATATATGCTGGTTTATGCGGGTCAGTCGGGTACTCGTAATCTGAAACCAGAAACCGGTCTGTTCCCAAAACATGAAAAATTGAATTCAACCCGAACGAGTCGGTCCCAGTTCGGGTTCGAATCTGCGAAACACTAATCATAGCCAGTGGCCAATCAACGGCGCCTCATATGGGCAGATTTGTTTCCATCCAGTATTGTCACAAAATTTTATTTTGTCATATATGACATTATCGTTATCAATCAATCAAAAAGATTTGCTGTGATATTTGTGTGATAGTTGAATCAAAAACGTGATCGTCGATCAATTAAATCCAAATTATTTATTATTAACGAAGCTTTACTTCTAATTATATATTTTAATACTGTAAATAGAAATTTTATAAATAGTAATTTTAATCTATTTTTATGTTATCATAACTTCTGCTAGAGATCAAGCATTTGATCTAAATCACATCTACACTGACTTACTTTGTAATTACAGTCAACCCTCCATAAATACATATCATCGGGACCAAACTTTTGAGGGCTTACATTTAGAGAACAATAATAAAAAATGCATCTATGAGAGTTTAGTATATATTTGGACCAGAAACTTGATATGCATTTAAGGAGGTCATGCACTTAGGGGGATGCATTTAGGGGGCCGACTGTAACTTCTATGAGATTATAAGATTAATGTAAAAGATCAAATTTTGTAGTAAAATGTTATGCTCTCAAAAAAAGTGTACCGTAAACTGCCGTATTCAAGGCCTCCCAGATATTAGACTCCCTATGTACTAGACCCGGGTGTGAATCTCAAAATTTACAATAACCAAATGCAGTTTTTTTTTAAAAAAAAATATCTGAACTGTTTATAAATGAAAAACATGAATTTTTTTTTTTAATTTTTCTTCTAATGACACAAACTTTTCACTATGTACTAGACCCGGGGTCTAATATAGGTTTTAATATTGGTGAAATGTAAGAGACCCAGGTATTTTATACGGCAGTATACAGTAATAAGTTATCTAGACGATTGAGTCAAGCAAACCAATTAAATGAATATCCAACTATAATTTGCTAGTACAATAGTAAAAGTCAAACCTATTTTAAAATTAAATAAAATTATGTTGGGATAATTACAATAAAAATAAGGATTTGCTGAATATAAACCCGAAAATTTTCATACCACAATACCGAAACTAGTCTTGTAATTTTTTAAGACCTTTGTCACATCACTAGCAAGAATTTTGGATCCCGAAATAAGAATTTTATATCCAGAGAATTAAGGTCTTACTGAATGTAAACATAAAAGCTTCTAAAGTGTAATATATTTTAGAAGAATTTGTTTTTACGAAGCCCCAAATCTCAATGGTGTAATAAATAAATTAGCCAATTAGCGTGAGATTTGCAATAATCCCATCGGAAATAAATCCGCCAATATTGATATGCAGGTTTAATATGTTCTACAAGAATTTAACCAATTACAACAGTTCGCAAGTGATTTTCCGGAACGCCATCTCTATTTGGTTTGGAGATTACAATATAACTGTTTCACTTAACATATATAGAATAGTGTGTATTTAAATTTATTTAGTTATAAAAGTTTTACATATGTTTAAACATCCTTGGATGTATGGACGGAACATGCGGAGTTTCGTATTCATACTTGTTATTCGAATCATATTCATATTCTGCGAATATTCGAATAATTAGGGATAGGTACTGCGCAGCCAACGCAGAATTTTCTGAAAGGCTACACAGAGCAATTTTTAAAATTCAGGCTGCTGACACAATTCTGGTCAGTCTGCCATCCCTACGAATAATTATCTGACGACAATAAGCCAACTAATATAGGTGCCCATCGTGATTTAAGTAAGAATGAAATGATTAGTAATTATTGTCAAAATTTCCTCTTTTAAATTACGATTTCACCTATACGACCTATATAGCCAACTTATTCGAATAATATATAGTTATTCATCATGTCATGTGAACTTCTATTTCATACATATAATAATATATATTCCAATAATTATGTTATTCGAATAAGTATGTAGTACTAATTTGAATAAAATTAATCATTTGGCAAATATTCGAATAAGTATTTATTATTCAAATAAATAATCAATGAGCTCTAAAACTCGAGCCTTTACACTTTGAAACCATACCACCGGATTCATTCTGAAAAATCATAGAAAAATCATCATTTGGCATTTTCTTAATTGTAGTTTCTTAATTGTATTTATTTGTTTATTCATTTTATCTTGCACTATTGCATTGTATATTATTCTTTTTTCGTCAATATAGATATTCTCTGGGTTTTTTTGTCGATTCAATTATTGTAAAAATGTTAAATTTAGATTCTCAAGCATGTTTATCACGTGATGCTTGTTTCTATATACGTACTACGCATGATGATAGATGCCTTAAAATGTACTTATTACAATTATACTAGCTTCTTTG